CCGTCGTCAGGTCCGGTTCTCCTAACAGAACCAGATGTCGTCACCGACGCAGACGTCGAACGACATGCTGCCTCTGTGCACTGTTTTTGTTGCCTCAATCCTGTCTGGGAAGGCAGCTCGATAGTCGCCAACAAAGGCAGGTGTTCTGACGGGAAGCTTGTCATGAGAGACAGGTGGAAGTAATTGCGAGGACGGTAAGTTATTATTAAACAGTGCGTGGAAATTGTTCGTAGTTTCCGGTACATCATGACTTCGGCAGAAGGGAAAACAGAAACGCCTGAATTATCTCGTCAGAAGTAACAGAAGGCTTTCTTGAATAAACCGACAAAACGTTCCCCCTAACTGTTAGATTGACGATGGTAGGGCGAGGAACGAAGGCACTGGATGTCGTGTTGGATGTAGATATCCTCAAATATTGATTAGATTAATTGGGAGCCAGTAGCCGAAATCAAAACATTCGGTAGGTCAAGTTGGCTAATGGTGCGGAGTACGAAAGCAATGTTGGTCGATATCGTTACCGGATTCAGTTGTGCAGTCTTGGGTTATTTAGAGCAGGCGTCAACCACTACTAGGTAAGTGACTTCATCAAGTGAGCCAGCAAAAGCGTTGTCAAGACATATCCGGTGTTCGATAGGATACTGACGGTTGACGAACTTCATTCTTGGCAGCTTGTTGACATCGGGAACATTGCCGAACGAGTTTGTCGATTTTCTTGTCAAGACCCGGTCATTAGGAAAAACTACGAGCACTGTACTTCATTCGACTGGTTCCAGGATAAGCAGAATGAAATAGCATAGTACAACAGGTCAAAGTGAGTGAAAAATCACCACCCAGTCTGCAAAAATAATGCACTAATCAACAACAGATAGCGATGCTCGACGCAGGAAGAGTTGGCAAGGATCTTCAGTAAGAGCAGTGGTTAGCCAACTTGTCTGCACCTTGGTGATAGTTTAGCGGAGAAAGCGATCTTGATCGGTAGCGCGTTGGATATTGGTGGCAGTTTCAGGTACGTTTCGTATCGCATTCGAAAGCTGACGGTGTACATCATCCTCAATCGAAATGGCAGCATTCAAGGTGTCCTTATCCTGTTGGGTATAATTGCAGATGAGGCGGGAAAGGGCGTCAGCCTGGCTAAAATCTGAAGTGCGACATTAACGGCTGTCTAAATCCTAACCGAGAAGAATGGCTGCCCCTATGTTGAAGTCTGCTAGCTGAACAGACTGGAATGCCCTTCCTTGATACGAATATTTTTGGCAGTGTTTTGTGATCAGTCAACATTAGATTGTGGAACGCCTTGAAGTCAGATTTAATGGCTAATGTCTCTTTATAGCTTTGGTCACAGTTCTTCTTAGTTAGCGTTAAAGATCGAAATGCATGCATGATCGCCTTTTTGGGCCCCTCGGGCAAAGTATCCGAAACGATGACACCAAAGCCAGGCTTGAAGGTGGTTGCAGCCACGACAATCGGCAGTGTCGGGTCGTATTGTGTGGACAGCATATCCGAACTCAACATCAACTTTATGTGGACAAAAGGTTTTTCGCATTCAGAGGACCAGCGCTAGGGAGCATTCTTTTGCAGCAGGCAGTTGAATGGGACTCGTAAGTCATGCAGCAATGGTAGGCAGGCGCTATAGTACCTGATTAGTGCAAGGAACGATCAAAGTTTTGATAAATCCTTAGGTGCAGGTATCCGCTGGATGACATGAATATTCTCGGGATCTGGATGACGACTAGGCTCATCAAAGATGAATCCGAAACACTTGCATAAACATTTAAACTGTTGGGCCGCAAGCGGAATACATATTCCTGAACGCGTTCCCGCACTGCGCACACTCGAACTTAGGGTTTATTTTTTCCGGGGAACGACCCATCTTGCTGATGTTGACCAGATAGTAAGCCGTACCAGGAATGCCGGAGAGCATTGTGTTCATATTTTTCTAGAACAGATACGGAGCGGTCTTGACACCAAAGGGCAGTCTGGAACAGATCACAGCAGTGTTTTTTGTCAGCAATTCGCGCGACTGTGGAGATACTTCTATCTGCAACAACCAGATCCAACTTAGCAAATCGACTGCTTCCATTCAGCAGGGTGAATAGAGTGGTGGAGAACCGCAGAAGATAGCAGTTCGGCGCCAGAGTCCCATTGAGACCGGCGGAAATGTCCGCGCAGGTGCGTATCAAACCATTCTCATGCTTAACCACAATGACTGGAGTAGCCTGGGTGGAGTAGTACACACCTGGCATAACTCGAAGTTCCTCCATGTGTTTCATTTCAAAATTGGATAGGGATAAGCCCGCATACGGACCTAGTCTCTGTGGACGTAAGACTGATCGATTTCCCGAACGGGTATGCAGCACGGCTTACGTTCCTATGGAACGAACCAGACTGTCCTGAAGCATTTGAGCACTTGGCAAGGTCTGAGGATACTGCAGGAATATTCTCTTGACTGCAAACAATGCGGCGTAATAAATTAACCAAATCAACTTGTTGAATCCAGTCAAAATAACAGTTGGTGATTTGGCAAGTTGGTGTGATATTTGTGCGGCGGAAGGACACACAGCTTTGCAGTTGTCCCATTAACTGGATAAGACCACCACACGCGCTTGTGGCTGACTGAGAAGTCTGCTGCATCGTGGGGCAGCAGAGTCTGCCAGAGTCTCTCAGAGATTAGGGTGATGTCCAAGGCAGTGTCTAGCTGTAGGTGGACTGCACAACTATTGAGCAGCATAAAAACAAACTGCTGGCGATCAACTGCGTTTACCGGAAAAGTGGCCAAAAGACTCGGAGGATTGCCAAAAGAGACTGAGGTTTCGACAGGTGCTTTACACTAGAGGGGGCGCATACTGGCTTGCCTAAGGAAGCTGAGAGTTGGCAGAACCCATCACCGTACCCTACCTGGTTCCAGATCTGAGAACAATGTTGGCGAAACGTACAGTCTCGATGGAAAGACCACACGCCAGGGTGTCGGCAAGGGGAGGACTTGCTTGGACCGCATAAACGGATTTGACTTGTTGCCGCGACCTCATGGACTGAGCAAGAAGTCGGACTATCTTGAATCATGGCCGAATCGTGTTAAAGTGTACTCAGTGCTTGACACACCACAGCCAGCTACTGGAATTTGCATGAGTTGTTCTGTTGCACTTGGGAGAGGAGAGCTATCCGGAGTGCAACATTCTTGGGTGACTGGGGTCGCGTAAAAAAGCCGAGGTATTGCCAATACAAGCGAACATTCGAGTCCCAGGAATTAATTGAGAGGAAGCACACGTGATCGCTGGTTCAAGGCTTATTTGCCTCACGTTTCAAAATTCGTCGCGGATCCTTAATCAGAAACAAACTAGAAACGTGAACAAAGCAAAGATCACAAGACTAGCAGAATTTACTGACGTCATAGAATTTCGCAACCTCTGTTTCAACTGCAAGCGGTCATAAGATAAATTAACTGTTTCATTAAGTATCAAACTAGAAGGGTGGAACTTTATAGGTAAATATAGTCGGCTTTGATGTGCGTGCACGGTCAGGGGTTGAGAAGAGAGGAGTAGTTATCGCAGCAAGTCAGAGTGAACGCCTGTGAATCGTAATTAAAGGAGAAGGCAAAGGAATGACAGCAGTCGGTCATAAGGGGATGGAGGAGGCGTAAGAATGAATGGGTTTATCCATCGTTATCACATGATCCAGCTCCGTAGAGAGTTCTGGTTTTCATCTTCGAATTGCAGTGGTCTCCGCAAATCATAAGAGACGCCCGGTCGTCGTCAGAATTACGAGCATAAATGCAGTTCTTTGTTCGACCCTATGGCCAGTGTCCACTAGATGATTTGTGATTGAACTCCTGGGTATTTTATTTGCCGCCCCGACCAACCACTTCGGCATATGTTCAGCTGACCGCGTTGCCAACTGCCTTTGCGTGCTCCCGATGTATGTGCATTCGCAACTGCATGTAAACTGCATAATCTCAGGCACAGCGAGTAGCAGTATTTATAAAACACAGTCATTATGCTAATACACACTTATGACAATTAAGGACTCCTCCCCTATCGAGGCTCATTGCCCGTTTGTGCGCTAATTGCTTGATGGCCGGCGTGCGCACCGTGACCTGCTGCACTTTTAGCACATGCACGAATAGGACGTGATGGTTGCTCGGCCATCTGACTCTCTGCCGCTGGCGTCTGGCGACTTGTGGGCCTATACGTTCGCCCAAGTAACGAATTCCCGATGAGACCGACTTTCTAGCGAAAGATCAAAATTGCGTGAGTTTATAAGCAGGGGCAACGACCTGTCCAATCCATATTCGGCGCTAAAGCTCAAGTTGGCCAAAGCAGTTTTCGATAAAATTGAATGCCCTAACGGATAGAGCTTCCATCAGCGTTAGTAGCTGCTGAAACAACTGCTTCAAGTCAGCGTACATTTCGGCCATGGGAGGTGAGAATCTGCGTCTCCAATTTGCTATGAGCCATGCCTGGTACTTGTTATTAACACTGACTGTGGGCTTGCCCGTCTGTTGGCCCAAAGCCAGCACAGAAGAGGAATAGAACCCAATTGACCTCAAGGAGAGCTGCATGCACATGTAGCAAGTCATTCTCATAAAACCGCAGTGTATTTTTAGTGCATTCACTTGATGAGAAAGAGCCGAACAACTTATCACAGACATGGACCAATCAGATCTGGCGAGAGATACGTGGTCATTGTCCAGGTGCACTACGTCATGGTCGGCGGCTTGGCGGCTCACGCACGAGGCATTCTCAACACCTCCCCTTCAAGTAGGTGAGTAGCGTATATGGGGTGAATTGACCTGTATGGGGTGAGAGCTCGGTGACCACGGCTTATCCGGCGTACTGAGGGCAGTTTGGCTCTACAGATGCGGGGCCAGCCACTAAAATCAAGAGCAAACAAACACTTTTGGGAATATCATATGTGCGAAACCGCCTTGAAATCTACACATATTTCATTGAATTGGAAATGTGTTTTTAGGTTGACCCGCTGTTTAATTAAACGACTTGACAGGAAATCATTTTTCAGTACGAGATTGTCAGAAATAACTTCTACCCAGAGAGCTGTAGGCATCAAGCTCTCCCAAAGATCGCATTATATTTCAATGATTTTCAACAGCAGCCCAGCCAATTCAAGTTGCTATTGGCGAGCGCTGCTTTCCGAATCTTAAAGCATCCTAAAAACTTGAATAGGAGCCATAGTGTGATTAGTCATGTGAAAGTTCTAGGCTCACCACTGATTCCTTTTTTTCAAATTAGAGTGTTCTGCTGTGATACAATAAGGCTAATAATTAGGTGAAGTACTTCAAAGCTTACCCTTAGGCAGATTTGCAACGAATATGTAACAATTTGGTGTTCCTTTAGATAATTATTCTCCAATTCAAATAAGATTCACCGTTAAAAGTAATTGGTCCAAGTGCTATGGTGACATATACTGACTCCAAATAAACTATCATGCTTAAGAAAAGCCCTAACTCCCCTAGAGAAGAGATGGCACGCAATCTGGTAAAACCAAATTTTTATAGTTGGGCCTTCATGCTAAGTACGCAATTCGGCGCAAAATCATGTAAGCCAAGCCAAGTAAAGTAAACTGATTCACCTGAGCAAAATAATGCATAAAGTTTCTAATACTCGAAAAAGAGTTTTTAATTGGCGTTTCCGTGCTGAGAAGTTTCAGTAAGAAAGTCGAACAGACTTCGGGAAAGAAATATGTCCACGTCTTTTCATCGATTTTTTAAAGATTTAAAAACCAGACGTAAGAGCTGTCTGCATAACGTTTTCCAGGGCAAACATCAAAGGCTTTATTTAAAACATTTATATGGGCCTTGAAAAAAACCTGCCTATGGCTGTCTGTTTCACCCTTGCTATCAATTCCTCTCTAATTAATGCTTTTTGAGACCATTAAAGGCAATTAAAACGACGTTGTTTCCATTTTTTCCAGCTCAAAACGCTGCGTCAGTTGCGAGTTGAAAAAACTTTATGGTCGGCATCTATGGCTGATAACTTCCGACCGGTTAATGCGCTGAACAATCGTTCGGTGCGCACAAATATTAACTTCTTTCTTAAGGTGGGTGTATTGAATACAGACTCCTCCCTCTATCTTATATGCCCTTCCGTTTGTATTTTTTTATTTTAGCAAAATGTCCTTTTAGCTAATTTAAGCGTCAACCAAATGCGCAATAATTTGTTCAAATGCGAGTCCGCAAATATTTTTGCGGCTGCCTATTTTTATACCAAACCGTCGCTTGTGACTCCAAACTAGTTATGGAACAGAAATTGGTTTACTTTTTTTCAATTGTTACAGCAGTGTGAAGGGACGACGGTTCTTCTATACTCGAAAAAATTACAATTCAATTTAATAAAAGCTTGAGAGACAGATGCGTCTAAAGTAAACTTACTCATGAAATATCCTGCTATTTTGTCCTTTTTATAAGGAGAACTAGACATAAGTGCCTTAATTTAACGATTTCTGCTGCATTAGGGCTGAATACAACCAACCAATCAGCCGATGCATTACGCATCCATATTCCTTAAGAATATAATGCATTTCGGCCGGCGTACTTAAGCCAAAACACGAGGGATAAATCGATACAACGAATAAAAAATCTATATTTGGATTATTCTGAGCTTCTCGCATACAACACAGGCATAATATGTGCAATTAGCGCAACTGAATGAGCCATTGGTTTTGGTAAATATATATGTTCAAAAAGCCGCAACTGCAGCGGAAATCGTTCTTAACCCTAAATAATTTAATTGATCAGTTAAACACAAAATAGCTTTCCATCTCTGCTGACTTTTTGTGTAGTTGTCTACATGCCTACATTAAAGGTGCGCCCAAATGCAATTTTAATATGAATTAAAATGGACAGTTTACGTTCAGCAATTAACTGCTAGACACCGTCAAGCGGACCACTTATAACTTAGCGGCTCAAAAGACGAAGAAATCGCCATCAGGAGAAAATGCAGTTTACGTTCGGTGATAGTAACCATGCAAGTTTTCAGGAGGTCAAGTTGCGTAAAGAAACGTTTTCGATTCTACATCATCATCAGAAAAATGCATTAAGAGGGTACAGTTAACAACAGTTTATGCAACTTATAATTAGTAAGTACGATGAGGGGAGGTGAGAGGTGTTCAGGGATCAAAAGTGCAGCTTCTAGTCATAACTCGGGCCCAGACTGGGGGAGGGGAGGAAAGAGTGCAACAGTTAGGTCATGCCGTCCCGACTACCCTGTCTCTCGTTGAGTTGGGAGGTGTGCTGTCGCTGCCTAGTTGCCGTCTCGCGGCGTGGATGGATATGCTGAACGTGTGAGCCCTGAAAACGTCTCCCTTAGTTACTATTCATTGGTTGTTCAAACTTTTTTCAGCTCTTCCCTTCCTTGTATTATTGAATTTTCCTGATGATGAATAGTCGTCAAAGTTCGTTCGCCTAACTTGGCTTCCTGAACATGAGCTTGACTGATCTGAAATTCTGCATTCTTGTGCGCTGATGGCTGGCTGATCCACGTTCGAGTTGTTAATTGCCGAAACTGCTTCACTGTTGTCGGTTATTGGCGTGTTAGCTTCTCAACCATTTCGCATTGCTGTCACTGGGACCGCTAACTGACAGTCTCCCCCACATGTCTAGTTTCTCTGTCGGGGCAAGTACCCATCGTAAGACATTAGGCTGGCGAATTACTGTGCTTATTATTTGATTGCGGGCTGGAGAAACAAAACTAGCGTAGTTCATGACTCAATCGGCTGTCAGCCCCTGCTAGCATTTTGACCTCATTAAACTGAAAGTGTAGCTGGATCCCTTAGAATGACCCGTGTTCTATGTCCTCTATCCCCTCCCCCGCCTCCTCCCCACCGCTACCAATTACTCCACTGTCCGTGGAGGGAGTCCTCTCCCACGTTCTCCAACGTAGTTGCTTTATCTGCACCTGCCTCAGATGCGGTAATCGACCACCATGCATTTAACGCCGTGACATTCGGCCTTCTAGTCTCATTAATTAACTTGTATTAGTTATTCCTAGTCAGTGTGCAACTCCACATCTGATTGGTGTTTGAAGGCGGTGGACCGATTCCAACATATTTTTTACCTACGGATGTGCTTAACAGAATTCGGTGCTCGCCTGTTTTGCACCTGCACATGTTGAGAAGTTGCGCTGAGTATGTGTCAAGGGAATTGCAATGCGGCCGCTTTGGGTTCGCTGTAGTCAATCCCAACACACCGTTATCGCGCCCATAAGCAGCTTTATTTGTGACTTACTCGGTGGTTGTTTTGCGGCTCCGTGCTGGTCTCGTATTTGCCGCTTTTCTAAGTACATTCGTTTTTTGCAACTATAAAGTTTTTCGGCAGACAACGACACTTACAGAAGCCGGGTAGTTGTCTTATATCATCTGTATCGTAAAGGTTAGGTCCGAGCAGGGACCGTTAAGATATTCTCTGAATGCTAACTTCCGGTCCGGTTTGATGATGACGAAAGTAGCATTGACATACTGCGTGCATGCGTTAGGTCTAAGGTGTCAGAAGACCAACGGTTCCAACTGTTGCAGGACCGCCTTCAGCTATAAAGCCCGAGATCGGCGCACCCATTGGCGTGACTTTCATTAAGTCATAGATTCGTCCATTGAACTTGAGGTGTGTTTTGAGGTAGAGCTTCAGTAGTATCAGATGTGATTTGTTCTTTCATCGAATAAGTTAATGCAATGCTTTTCATTGTCAGCGTCTGGTGAAAGAATTAAAAACAAACGGATTCCATATTGCAGGAGACTACCTACCTTACGTTTCCCGAAAAATAATGTTGAGGAACTGGCTGAAGTGGTCAGAAATTAAATACTTTGGCACAGCCCTTTTACAAGTCCGTAATTGAGAGGGCCTTTGAGTGTTACGATGGACAGGGGAGGAGCGTCCTCTTTGTGCACTTTCAAAAGCAATGGAATCACACTAGAACCGTTTCTTGCACTCTGGTCATGCGTAGGTCGGTCAGTGATAGTGCAACTGAGTTCTCCAGTGCCAGTAGCGGCGCGTTGATTTCGAATGTCAGTGTTCTTTCGAGATTGGCTTCGCATCCACTAACATGCCTTTTTGCTTTCCACAGGCATTCTGTCCTATTAAATCCGACAGTGGAACCCCACCCCCGCCCTATCCACAGGAAAGATAAGGTTTTTTTGTAGGCATTTAAGTCCTCATGTATA